GTGAGAAAAAATGAAATGCAGGAAAAAACAGAAAAGTTGTAAAAACATTCAGAAGTAAATGACTTTGAATAATTGAGAATGAAGTCTGCCAATTGTGCTCTCAATAATCAATGTTTGCAGGGCACAGAGACTGAAAAGTGGTTTTGATTGAACCCTGGTGGGATCATACGGAGATACTATGATAGATAAATTGGATTTTGGCTCAATGTGTCCATTAATGGACCTCGCCGCTCCCCACTTTGATTTTCCTTCCTCCTACGCACAGTTAACTGAAAACAAAATGGCCTTCCCTCTAAAAGAAAAGTCAGCGTGATGCTCACCGTGATCTAAGGACAGGGGGAAACAAATCAAACATTTTAGACATTTTGTTTGAAGCAGGTTTAAGCCATTTTCTGACATTTTCCAAAAATCACCTGGATAAAAGCAATTTCCTTTTCTTTCCTTTTCTTTTTTTCCCCCACTTTTTGGGATTTTTCAAAACACCTTTGATAATGACATCAGAACGAGTGACCAGCGGTTACACAAAGGCAGAAAAAGAACAAGAAAACGTCTTTGTCGCACAACACAAAGACAGATTCTAAAAAAAGAAAGAAAAAACGTTCCTTATATAAGAGAGGGGTGGAGGAACACATGAGCAGAAGAGGATGGCGGGGATAAGCTCCATCTGCAGCAAGTTTTTTTTTTCTTCTCATCCCCTTTGGTATACGAGTCCTACACTCAAATTAGCACACAAATGTACACACACAAAAACCCAGATTCCTACGGCATTAACGTTACAATGCAGCTGTGCTTTGACAGATGTGTTTTTGTGACCTTCTTACACTTAAACACAAAACACCGAAAGCCTTCAGACCAGTGCGAGAGCAGAATACTTTTACAAAACCAAAGCAAAGCCAAATCCAGAGCTTTGTTCATATACATGTACAAACGTACATGCAGCAAAAAAGTCTATCTTATCAATGTGAATGAGACAAAAAAAATGCTCACATAAGACAGGGGTCACATTCAGTCAAATAAGGATAAGTTCACACACAAACACACACACACACACACACACAGAGGAGGGGAGAAAAAAGACAAACACATTTTGCATGCACCCTTTTCCAAACCATGTAATTCTGTGAGTGTCAGTGATCGAACGTTTAACATCTGTTTTCAGTATTTCTGTCTGTTTTGATACTTTTTGGCTGTCGTTTCAGCAAACAGGCTGGAACATAGCTTTGTTCGAGTTTGTCACCGAAATAGGGAAGACGAAATGTGTGAGCTGGCGGTCCCTCCAGTGACACGATTTAGATACTTGCTTAGAAATAAGACCCGTTTAGACCTTTAACACATCTCTTTTTCCTTCCCATTCCTGTCATGTGTTCGTGGTGCAGACATGAAGTTTCAGTCGCTGAACTTAAGCTGGCTACAGAAGAGGGGCAAGCGAAGATTTAGTATTGTTTTTTAAAATTGAAGCTTTGATTTAAAATGGAGCTTTTCAAACAGCTCAACAATTTATTGCAGTCAGTCACTGTCTGTGAGCTAAATGCGTATTTCCCAGGGTGGGAAAATTTCATACATCTCTCTCCATCTGATAGATGGAGAGAGATGTATGAAAGAGAAGGAAAGGAAGGTGGAAGAAGAGGAGATTATCTTCAACAGTAAGCACTGCTCAGAGAGTGACATTTTATAGACTGAGCTGAAGATGAGAGGTGAAACGTCTTCAAAAAACCTAAAGAAGTCCAGTTGCTTTTCTTTCCAAGCTCCTTAGATTACCATTCCTGGATGAATGACAACCTACCGGTACACAGATATTTTATAGACTGGAAAGTTTATTTATTTAGTTTAAGGTCTTTAAATCAGACAGTGGTGATGTTCTGATAAATAATGTTTCTGTGAAACATGTAAAAACAAATTTAGGTATACTGTAAATTCTACCTTTTATAATAGCTATAGTGTCTACAGTCTACTTTTATCTTCATGTGTATTCAGTTAGCTAAATCCACAAAGAGCAGTGAGTATTGGAGTAGCTGCACAGGTCAGCTGATCACAGTCCCTACAAGAAGAAAAGTTTATTGTTGCTCACAAAACAAATTCTTATGTGACCAGGCTGTACTGCTACACCTGCTCTTAGGGTTCCCTTGGTAACAATGCACAGATACATTAGTTCTTGAGGAAAAAGATTAACTGAAACTATTTTCCTGTTTCAGTTTGTGAAACTTAGAGAAAGAGAAAACACTCACTGTGTGACTTTGGTTGCCAGCAGGTTACGCAGCTTGTCACTCCTGACTATTGCCAGATCCCCACCGCGGTTCAAACACTGTTTTCGAGCATCAGTCCAGCTCAGCTCTCCTGGAAAGATCTGGAAACAGCTTGAGGACTCGTGATCGTGCATCGCATCTACTGGACAGAAAGGAGAGGCTGGAAGGGAACAGAAACATGAATGTCGTTTAACAAATACTCTGAAGGTATTCTTTCTAGAAAAAAAAAGTGCAGCTACTATTTCATAATTTAAAGAAACCAACTTAAAACATGCTGAAGTACAAAATAACAGTAAAGTTAGTAAGTTGCATATGATTGCAAATCAGTGTGATCAAATAATATTTCTCATTAGGAATGTGTTTATTTCTTTTATTTTTTACTGGCCTCAAATATTTGTTGCAGAACATGCAGAATATGTCTCTCAGTCAAAGTCTTCGTTATTTACGATATAAAAAGAGCTACAAAAATCTGTAAAAAAATTTGTTTCGAGAATTCACAGTGAAAAAAAACAACCTGAAGAGTTTCTCAAAGCCTCAGACAAACAGGCAAAAAATGTAGACACAAGAGATGTTGATATATGGGTGCAAAGTAAAGCACGAGGGGGGAGACAGATGAAAGACGCGGGGCCTGACTCACATCTCTAATGTGCAAACACACACACTCCTTGGCTGAGACAGTAGAAAAAGGAGTACTGGCATTTCTTTCCTATCATGATGAATTTGTCCTTCAGTAAATCACTTTAGTTTCATAGACTCTTTGGCACTTTGTAAAAATTCTTTCTCATAATATCTCAAAGAAACAAACCAGTGAAATGAACAAATAACAGTTAAATATTACATTGTGAGAATAAGGAGTGTCTTAAGGAGGAGTGTAAGGGAGTGTCTTAGAAGAAGAGAACGAGTATAACAAAGGTGGAAAATGGAGGAGAGGGACAGTACTGTGCAAAAGTCCTCCTTTACCGCGCTTTTTTTTATAATTTGCTAGGAAATGGGAGATAGGTGCAACAATGTATTGAAACGGGTTCCTTTTTATGTTTTTCTATCCAGGTATACGATTACTGAATATGCATGAATTACTGAATATGTGTTTGGGATCATTATCATGCAGCCAATCAGAATTCAGCCTCAAAAGTTAAGCAAAGATTATGGATCAATATCTGACAAAATACTTTGGCAGTATGTTGTCATAATTCATAATTTCTTAAGGGCGTGACTTTCAGACACTGTTAATCTACAGTGGACATGTTTTTGGCCTTGCTTTTGGCCTCCATTTGTCAAATTCCCTCTCATATTTTAAGGCCACACTGCACACCTTACAGAAATGAAGAGTTTTTGGCTGATAACTGATGCAAAAATACAACCCTATATCTGGCAAACTGCGTTATTTTGGGTATTTTTCAAAACTTCAAGCAAAGAAATGGGGACAAATTTTGTTCTTGTGACGGGCTGCTGGTAACAAAGTGCCTGGAATGAAAATGAGTGAAAAAGCAGAAAATTTACAAAGAAAAAGTTGACTTTTTAAAAATCCCAGAGAACTATTTCTGATGACAACTTTAAAGCACAGGAATGTCTGGCTCTTTGGAAACAGAATATAAGAAAATAGATCTTTCTCAATACGTTTGTCCAGTAGAGTGTATAAAGTTTATAGTTTATATAAAAGTTGTCTGTGCATGTGTGAAAAAGGAAGGTGAGTGAATAACAAGTGCATAACTAAGACAAGACTGAACAATCACTTGAATGAGAAAACTTTGAGCTCAGATTGTAGAGTGCAGACACAAAGCTACAAAGTTTAAACTGACAAATATAACCAATTTTATACAGCTGCTTTGGCACACACAAAAACACATACATATATATACATTTAATACTAACATGCTCAGTGCAAAAAGGCAAAATCCAAAGACAAAGTTAACAACTAGCTGTAAAACTTAGCAGGTCGTGCCACAGCTGATTCCCATCAGATGGCTACAAATATACAGAACAAGTGCTACTGTTACACCTGTTGGCTGGATGTACCATACAAATGCTCAGCTACAGTGTCAGCGCTTCATTCATAACTGTGCATAACTGGCTTTTGCTGTTCCCAAGTGCCCAAAAAGAAATGCTTTCTGGAAATGATTGTGATCGTGCAATGTTGATCTTTTATTACTGCCAAATTTCTAATTACAAAATATTAGAAGATTAAACAATTTAATCTTCCAACCAGATGATGGTAACTCCTGTAAACATTTATCCTTCCAGTTTTCCAGATAACCCCCACAGAGAAGCATTAAGCTAATGTTCAGATTTAATCAGCAGGGGAGAAAAAACTAATTGGATGTTGATGATCGCGAGGAGCTCGAAATGTGTGAAATTTCAATAACTGAGATTCCGTGTTGGTATAACTTTACCTTTGGCAATTTGGACATCATCTTTCGTAATCTTCCAGTCTACGTTCAAGCCAACTGAGCCCCAGCTGACAAGTGTGAGCTCCAGACTCCTATTGGCCACAACAAGAGGTGGACAATGCAGCTCGAGTTTGGGAGGAAGCATTATAGTCACCTCCCCACGTGCAGACACCTGAACACACACAAGTAACATTTTCAAATCCAAACACACACATACACACACAAAGTTTCTTTCTTAAAAAAACCTCTTCGAACATACATAAAAAAATTCAGCCTGGATAAACAGAAGGTTTAAAAGCCTGTTCTTTTTTCTCTCACCTTCTTATGTCCCGCCAAGGCCGTCAGACTGACTGTATAAGATCCTGGAAGTCCGTATTTGTGAGCTGATGTGGTGCTAACGGTTCCTGTGGTGTTGGCACGGGGTGAAAGGTCACCAAAGTCCCAGGACAGCGTCACAGGTGTGACAGAGGAGTTGGCGGTGAAAGTGACGTGGTTGTGAACGCTTTGCGGCTGGAGAGGAGTCAGCGAGACCGAGAACTCCACCACAAAGACTTCGCGAGCCAGAGCCCACCCACATTTCTGTGAATTAAAGGAACCCATATGAAGAAGAGCTGGTTTTGGTGTTAATACATACGCATTTAAATAAAATAATAAACAATTTTTCCCATTAATTGTTAAGATAATTGTGGTTTTCCTATTATTTCATAGTTCTGATTAAAATCTGATTATATATAAACTGTTCCAATTTAAATAAACCATTATTACATTTTTATTTGGAGCTTTAACTAACTTCTATTCCAGATTTCCTCTGCACAGCACTCTTTAGGATATAGGGAAGTCATTCAAACCACAGAGGGAAGTTGTTGTTTGGCTATTGAAATTTTACAGGAAATCCTGAATGTTGTATAATCAAATGAGGAAAGAGCAAAGAAAAGGAAACTGGATCTCCAAAACTTTCTTTTTAATCGAGTGACAGCTGACTTACAGAGAAAATATAAAAATGTACATAACGGAGCACCAGAGGTTATAAACCGAGTCTGACAGAGCAATAATCTTTACACAAACCTTCATCACATCGGGGTTCGTACAGGCAGCAGAACACTGAGACGTGCTGATATAGTTGGGGTCCGAGTTTTTGCTGCAGAGGCATTCGTGCTTCTCTCCTAAGCCCCCATACCGATGCGATTCATTGAAACACACACTGTGACACTGTTCCCGTGTCAAGTTTCGGAACGTGGAGTAGGAGAAGATGACAAGTTCACTTCGTCCCAGTCCTCCGCTGTTGCTATCCTCAAGGCACGCAGCATACAGACCTGAAGGAGACAACACAGGTTTAAATCTCACAGGCTTATCAGAGATATCAGAGCATGCTCTGCCTTTATCATAAATAAAGGCAGAGATTTTTTTATCATAAATCTGCATAAAGTCTGCAAAATACTACACAATAATGTTTGTTGTTTTGTCTGAGGTAGAAAACCAAACGGACTAAGTATTTCACCTTTGTTGCATCTTCAGTTCATCGAGTTACTTTTCAAATATAAGTCCATGAACTATTTATTGTAGCAGGAAATGATTTCTGGTGAATTCTATAATGTGCATGTTTTCTTTTAACTTCACGAGATGACGAGTATATTTACCTGTATTTGTTTTCATATCACAGGTGGGCAGTCTGACATTGAGTAAAGGCTGATCTTGGAGGTCAAGGGGGTGGCTGCAGCGCAATTCATTTGAGCGTCGAACTTGCACCCCTTTTTGCTGGAGACAGCTGACAAATCGGAACAGCTTACAGTCACACTCGAAGGGGTTACTGCTTAGATCACTGGAGAAGAGACGGAGACAGACAAGGAGACCGAATCATTAACTGTTAAACATCTCAACAGTCACAAGGTTGAGCACCGTGGTTGCCACTGCTAAACTGTCATCATGCGGGGACGACACATTTATAAACCATTAAAGCTGCATTAATATGTGCATAACCAACAAGTACCCTCTCTCTAATAAATTAAGAACTCTCTCATTTATATTTGTGTGTTTGTGTGTGTTGAAAGCTTTTCTCAACCTCATTGTTGAGAAACAACAAACCTACAGATGACATGCCATCTCCTTAAAAAGGCTAGCTCATAATGTGTATGAGTGGTGTGTGTGTATTCAGCAGCTCAAATCATAATTACTGCTAATTATTGCCTGATGTGAATGTCTGATGGACTCTGTAATTTAGGAATCATCAGCCATCTCTTTATCTTTTTTTTTTTTTTTTTTATCACAGCAAGGGTTTTATCAAAGCAAGTAACCAATAAAAGTGACATTTCAGTTTGATTATTTAACAACACTTAGCTACTGTTTTCCTTTTCAGTAAACATCATATTTTAAATCTCTTATATGACTTAATGCTAGTTTCAAAGACATATTTAACATAGTTACACCTACAAATTTACAGAGCCAATGCTGATATCAGATGTCGGCCCAGTAATAACTGGAGAGCTGGAGCTCAGCTTTTCTTTAGTGTTGATCTATTAGAGACAATTCTTGTATTCTATATTATATTTACGGATTTATATCCACATACTAGATATTACTACATGTGAGCATGTGCAGGTAGAACCGTACATTTTGTATTCTGTTTGTTTTTTGTGAACTACTTTTATGATTTCATTGAGATTTAACAGAAAATGGCGCTCATGGGGCAATGACCCCACAGGTAGAATTATAAGAGATAAACTTGAACTGTTATTATCATTGTAATAGATTTTATAATAATTATTCATATATATTTATTTTGTTTGCATTTTTTATACACTGTGTATAAGTAAGGGGGATTGAGAGTAAAACATGTAATTATGACATATTTGCAGGAGCTGGATGGTCACAGGTTAGCTTTCTCTACCTAAAGAGACACTCTGTCTTTGTGAGGGAGACAAAGCGTAACTGTAACTGTGTAACTGTAACTGTGTAACTGTTACTGTGTAACTGTTACTCCTTTAAGCCACCACAATGAGCATAATAAAAGGATCATGAAACACATGCTTAATGCTATTCAATCTGTGTTTTTATGCTTCAGTTTCTACAGAATAAGGGTATTTTTTAAAGACACGTGAGAAAGGGAAATGATGAAGAAGAATAAAAATAACAATACTGGCAATGACAGAAAAGAAAAAGAAACACAGAAGAGACAAAAAGGAGAAGGAACTGAAAAGATGGCGCAAAAACGACTGCAGGAAAAGAAGAGAAGGCAGAAAGAGAAGGTTACGTAACATGTGCCTCTCATTTAGATTAGTCTGTTATTGATTAGTCTATTTACAAAGACTCTGCACAAGAAGAAAACTTTTCTTTTAATGTGTTGTGTTTAATATGTTGAAGTTTAATTACTGATGTAATCAAAACCTTCCATCCAGCTTTGGTTCATGTACTGTGCAATAACCCCTGCACAGGGGACACCTGCTTATTTCATAATGTGCCATCAGGCATGAGAGACAAATATTCACAGACATAAAGCTTACAGTATACAGTAAGTGTAATTACTTACATCTGAGTTAGATTACATAGGTCGTCACATATCCTTTCTTCAATGGTGGTGATTTGGTTGTTGCTCAAATCACTGATGGAAACAAAGAGACAAATCAAATGGCAATATCTTAAAACAAGAAAAAAAACAACAGAAAAGACTTTTTCCTTCACGTTTTCACTAATGTATACCAATTACTATCATTTTGGCAAGATTTATGTGACTAAAAATGACTAGACTGAACGATCACTTGACCTGACTAAAAATCCAACAAAAAGGTCATGAATGAGTTTGTAAACCCTGTTTCTCCTACATCGTTACATTAAATTAGTTAAAGAAATGAATAACGAAAAGTGCTGAACACTGACTTTTGCTATTTTACTTTGTCTCATTTCCATCTGTCTGTATGGAAATGCGCTCTTCCTCCTCTTCTCGTATCCTTCTCTACTCCTTTTCGCTCCCTCCCTCGCTACTCTATCCAGAAGGCTACATAATGGAGCCGTTGTGTGGTGGTTTTGGAAGGAACTGATGGAAACCATCAGTCCTCTCTCATCACACACACATACACACAAACATGTGCTTAAACGCCCATTCAATGGGTGGAAGAAGTAAGGTAATGGATGGAGGAAGGGGGAGACCGACAGATGGAGAGAAGGAGGTAGTGGGAGCCTGGAGCAGTAAGCTGTAATTGAAGTTAATCATCCTGTGATTACTGTGTGTGTGTGTGTGTGTGTGTGTGTGTGTGTGTGTGTGTGTGTGTGTGTGTGTGT